GAGAATCGAAGAAGTAAATTTCTAGCTTTCATAGTCTCCACTTTTGTCAGACTTTTGTTTTCGTCTAAGATTTTCGTTACAAAGTCTATTCCCGTACTGTCCTTCTTCACAAGATTTTCCGAGCATTTTCTTATCCAGGCCACTTCTTCCAATACGCCCACAGGCTCTCCTTCTTCAATCGTAATTTCTGAATCACTGAAGTTGAATACCGGAATGCGGTTAACATCAGATGACCCCACGACAGTTCTTGCCGGTAGCCATGAGTTTACGTGTTCCGATTTATCAATCACAGCGCACCTTCGAGGTAAACTTCCTTCCCTCCTCCTAGGTAATGCAATTGGTACGAGAGTCTGTGATTTTGGTGCAAGAACAGTTCTTCTTAAACAGCAAACTTTTCCCAGGGTTCCACCCTTCATCGGAATTTCCTCAGTTCCACATAGTAATACTCCAGATTTTAAGTCGATGTTACACTGGTGCCCTCGCAGGAAATCAAGTCCTAGGATGCAGTCATCCAGAATTTTGGCCACAATAACCTCATGTCGATAAACACGTTCCCCAATTTTAATTGTTACATGCAATTTTCCACTTATCGGTATGCGCTGGCCGGTAGCTGATTTCATTCGTAGGCCAACAATTGGTTTAAGGTGTTTCCTGATGTTTTGCCCGAGCAGCCGAACATTCATCACCGTCCTTGAAGCTCCAGTATCTAATGTTAGCTGACTGTTTTTCCCGTTTACTTGACCGTCTATCACCAGAGTATTTCCATCGTTAGTTTGCTTGATGTAGATTGTTGGGGTTATTCCACTACCGGCCAGCGCCCACCCCGCAGCCCTGGCTGGATTTAGTTTTCCTGCTGGTCAGAAGTTGAGACCGCCGCGTCCTGGCGGTTCACCTTCTTCGGGCAGTCGCTCCGCATGTGCCCACGCTCTCCGCATCCATAGCACATGAAGTTCCGACGGCGTGGAGGTACCTGCTCCGTTGTCGTCATTTCCCGCAGACGTAAGGTACGGGAGTTACCACGCACGGCTTCCACTTCCAATGCATGGGCCAGAGCTTCTTTCATGTTCTTGTGATGGCCCAGATGAACAGCAGCTCGTACTTCGGGGTCCCGAACACCGTCAATGAATGCTTGGAGAAGCGTGCCTTCAATCATTGACGGAGTCGACCGGAAAGCTCGACGCACAAGTTTTTCGATTTCCACGGACCATTGCTGTAGACTCTCATTAGCACGCTGAGTACGCTCTTTTAATTGCGCTCTGTACACGTGCTCGAGGTGGCTGTCTCCAAAACGTGCCTCAAGTGCGTCGAGGAGGGCACTAAAGCTGAGATCCCCACTTGCGCCGATAGCTTCCAGCACTGAGAGCGCTTGATCACGGAGGGCCAGGGTGAGGGCTGACTGTGCTTCCTTCTGAGTCCAACCATAAGCCTCCATAAGTGTCTCAAACTGTAGCTTGAACGCGGTCCAGGATGTTGTTCCGTCGTAATGGGGAATCTTGAGCCCTTTCGTTGCGCTTGAGGCCACATTTGAGGTGTCAAAAACGGCTGCAAGACGGCTTCGGCTCTTCAAAGGGCTTGGGCTTGCCACTTCCTGCTTGATTTTGGAGATCTCTTCTTCCACTCTCTCCTCTATCGCCATGACGCGATGTTCCAACTTGCCTAACCCTTCCTCCACTTCTTGTACCCGTTCGACAGCCTTTTGCAGTCCCTTCGTGAAATCCTTATGCATGTCTTCCAAGCGACGCGCTTGCTCCTCTTGGCGGCGAGCTTGATCCTCTTTCAGCTCCCGTAGCTGCTCCGCCTGACAGCGTGCATGCTCCTCTTGGCGACGAGCTTGATCTTCTTTCAGCTCCCGTAGCTGTTCTTCTTGGCGGCGCGCTTGCTCTACCATCATTTGCTGCAGCTGTAGCAGTAGATCCACCTGCACAGGCTTGGCTTCTGCATCGCTGGTTTGAGCTGCAGCACTTTCTTCCCTCACACGCTGCGGCTTCTGCCATTGCACGGGTACTCACTCCTCTTACGTCCTGCGGCACTAGCGGCATTTTTCTCCAATCCCACTTCTGACACCAAATGTTACGTGCCTGACGTCACGTTCCTGACTATGCGGGCTTGGGTTACGGGATTGGATGAAATGAAACACTAATACCGGTTTTCAGACTTTCTATTGCACTTAAGTTACAGCGTCCACGGAGTTAAGTTATCGGCGTTCTTCTTCAGCAGAGTCCGGCCGACTGACACAACTTTGCCGTTCACGCTGACTTAACTCACTTAACTGACTGCACTTCTCTATTTCACTGCACTTCACTATTTCACTCACTTTTCTTCTTTTTCACTTCTTCCTTTTCTTCCGAATCACTTTAGACTTAGAAGTCAACTGCCAGCGGTGAGCCGCAGTTCTGCTTATATACCCCCGGTCAGGTTCTGGAACATTCAATTTCGTTATTCTTTTTGATCGTCATGCCTCCAGAACCTTCCAATAATTTCGCTATTCATTTTTATTTATTCTCCTTCTCACTCTTTAATTTTTCATCTCTTTCACACAAATAATTCCAGAAAGTTCGACAAAACTTCCATCAACTAAAAAACTTCATGTTTACGGCGGGACTCGAACTCGGGGTCTCTGTGGTGTAATCCACACGCCTTACCAATTACACCAACTCGTATTGACAATTCACGACGAAATTTACAATCTCTAGGCAACGTTTGACAACCATCCATTGACGTCATGATGTCAAAGAGTTTTCTGTCACAATATAAAAGAAAGTCGTGTCAGTTACACCACTTATAACTCAAAAACAGCTGAACCGATTTAGCTGAAAACTGGCAGAGAGGTAGTTTAGGGCCAGGAGAAGGACAAAGGATAGGATAGAGTAGGTTAGGTAGAGTGGGGTAGGTAGAGTAGGGTAGGTAGAGTAGGTTAGGTAAAGTAGGGTAGGTAGAGTAGTGTAGGTAGAGTAGGGTATGTAGAGTAGGGTAGGTAGGTAGGGTAGGTAGAGTAGGATAGGAAGAGTAGGGTGGGTAGAGTAGGGTACGTAGTCAAATGACGGGAGCGACGCCGCGGGTAAGAGCTAGTTGTAGATATTTAAATGTTACATGTAATTTCTTTGCGAGAGTTCGGGAGCTTCTTTTGAAGAGGTTGGGGGAATCATCGGGACTATGACTGCATATACGTATATATATATATATATATATATATATATGTTTACCGCCTTATAAATATGTATTATAATGTATATATATAGTATGTATGTATGTAAAGTGTGTTATGTATATTTTTATTTATATGTTTGGTATATTCAATTAAATTTCCTTGCTTCTGCACCTGCCACTAGATTATCTCTGCATCACCCAAAGGTAGACTGGTAGAGAATGCTCATTGCATTAAGTCCGCCTATGTACAATGTTTTGTGCATGAAGTCTTAAATAAATAAATTACTTCTATAAAAGCCCCACATCAGGTCTCTAGCAGGACGATTGAGCTCTGCAGCTTATGCTGTCTGGAAGATCCGACAGCTAACCGATGTAGGCACGGCAAGACTAGTGTACTTTAGCTACTTTCACAGCATCATGTCGTATGGAATTCTGTTGTGGGGACAGGCATCCGACGTTGAGTCTATTTTTATCTTGCAAAAGCGTGCCGTCAGAGCTATATATAACTTAGGTCGTCGCGAATCTCTCAGAGAAAAGTTTAGGGAGATCAACATTCTGACCGTACCGAGTCAATTTATTTATGAAAACATTATGTATGTAAGGAAAAACCTACACTTATTTGTAAAGGTATCTGACAAACATGATTATCATACTAGACATAGGAATAGATTGAGTCAGCCTTTATTTAGATTGGCAAAAGTGCATAAGTCATTTCTGGGTTTCTGTGTTAAATGTTATAATAAAATCCCAGTTGAAATTCAAAATCTAAATGAAAGCAAATTTAAATTATGTATAAAGAAACATTTATGTAAACTAGCATACTACAAACTAAATGATTATATACAAGATAAAAATGCTTGGAGGCTAGCTGGTCCTACTCCACAGGATGTTTAGAGGAATTTTTGATTTTAATTATTAAATTGTACACTATGTTGTTAATTGTTGATGAACTTCTAAGTTTTTGTAAATGTGAGTACCCTGTAACCTATTATAATTAAGTAAGACTTGTAGAATATAGGTACTTGTGTCGGCTGGGAGCTGTCATGCTCACTTAGAGGTCTCATTGGCGGTGGCACGGCCACTGGATCGCCCAATTCCCTATAATATGGTTGAGTTGGGCGGTGCTGGTGTACGTGTCATGTTCGTGAACGGGCGCCGCCTATTGGGACTGGTCATCTCCAGGCTGTCTAAATATGTTGTCCTTGAGGTTCACTTCTTTTTCGTACCTTTTGCCTGAACATTAGTGTTACATTGTTCTCACATATCAGAACCAACTAAATGATGTAACAAAGAAATGTATTGTAAAACTGATTGAAAAAGAGTAACCATGGAGTTTCTTGCTCGTTCTTCTCCATAGGAATCTACACTTTGGAACGAGCAAATAGCTTCACTAGAGGACAGACGGACAGACTGACATGCTTAATTTTAAAGCTCATGTTATATACTTTTTTCCTTTTTTGCTTGCTTGACGTTCAAAAGTGCCTACTGTGGTCTAATTGAAATAAATGATTTTTGACTATTTTTTTTTTTTTTTTTTAAATACTATAGTTATGTAGTTAGTTGTAGTATACAAAATCCGTATTATTTAAATATGTAATTTGAGTAATCTTTACTGGAAATTGTTTGACAAGGGCACGGATCCCGAGTCCGTGGAGATTGTAAATGATCAATTATAAAAAAAACCCTACCTACCCTATCTACACTACCCTACCTATCCTACCCTACCTATCCTACCCCACCCTGCCCTGCCCTACCCTACCCTACCCTACATACACTACTCCCTGCCCTACCCTACCGATCGAAATAACGTCCACAATGAAGCGATGACGTTTTACCTATTGTCTGGTGGTACGATGGTGGAAAGTAAATGTATATCGGCTTATTCAATTAACTTTCGAGGTAACTCGAAAAGTTTCAAGTCACGCCCGGGACCCATATATATAATAAACAAGACACGACTTGTCTAGTCTCGTAATGTATCAGATTATCGATCCTTAACATTTATTTTGACAGAGGACTGCGCCCCGAAGCTGGTGGTGTCAGGTAGGGGGGGCAGGCCCCTGCGCCGACTCCTGCTTCTGTCGTACGTGCCGTGCGGGTTCTGGCCCCGGCTGTGCGCCCGACTACTGGCTGACCAGCAACTCGCTGACGCTCCATACACGCTATACAAGTTGCCAGCCGAGGTAAGTTTTTAGCCTACTAAAAGCCTTACTCGATAATTTTTTTAAAACCTTGCCACGTGCAATTTTTTTTTCATGTGTCGGGAGTGCGGTTACAAACATACAATTTCACATACACATCACACGCAGACCCGGAACAACAATTTGTGGATCACACAAAGAGTTGTTCCGTGCGGGAATCGAACCCGCGACACGTTGCACGGCAGCCAGTTGCCCAGCCACCGCACCAACCGTTGCGGTTGTCCATGGGCTACTGATTGCTTACCATCAGGTAATCCGTCTGCTCGTTTGCCTTAAAAAATCGAAGTTATTTTTTTCTCTCTAGATGGAACTCGATGATACTTTAACCAAGGCGTTAGAACTGTCCTGGGGCTGGCGTCTTTGGAAGAGTGGCGCCCGAGTGTCCACTGGGGCTCTAACTATGTTATCCCTGAGGGAACTACCTCCCAGGAGGGACGCCCTGCTTCCAGGACCGGCTGACGATGAACCCATTGATGACCTGTACCATAATATTAAGTGAGTATAATTATTATTATTTTTAACTTAAAAAATCAAATCTTGATCTTTCCTATTGAAATATTAAAAAAATAACTATAATTTCGATAAATCGATCTGTCGATCTTTACTAAATTTTCGATATTTTGTAGCTACTTTTTATCTAACCTATATGACCTTGAAAAGACCGCTCGTTTCTTCTTTCCTATTAAGATCTAATGAATGGCGGTATTCTCTAACCGATATGAACTTCAAGAAAAGACCGATCGTTTCTACTTTCCTATTAAAGACCTAATTACCGAGCGTTGTAGTGTTCAAGAGAAGACCGACCGACCTTTTCTCTCTTCGTATTAAGATCCCATAAAAGGAGTTGTTTGGGAACCGATTCATTAGGTCTTTATGTTTCCGATCGGTCTTTTCTTGAAGGTCATTCGTTCAGAAAAGACCGAGCGTTTCTTTTTACCTATTAAGACCTAATTAACGGTGTTGTTTCCGATATGACCTTAAAGGAAAGACCAACAGTTTCTCGTTTCCTATTATAGACCTAATGAACTGCTCTCCTCCCCCCAGGTTCAGGGTACGACAGGAAGGTGCATGGTGCGAGCTGGATGTCCAGTCCTCGGCCTGCGTCGAGATATTATTACCGGCACAGGTGTGTGTCATTCGGAGGGATGATGGGTTGCCTATCGCAGGGTATCAGGTACGATTTTTTTTTGTTAGAATATTATTCTTTTAGTTGGTAAAGCCGTTGTGGCCCGAGGGTTAGGGCACCCGCTTATCATGCATGAGAGGCATAAAGTCACATCGCTACGATGTGACTTTTTCGTAGTTATATGTACTTTCTATGATTATTTAAACACCACTGATATACGGTGAAGGAAAATATCATGAGGAAACCTGGACTTATAATTAATATGTCATAGCAAACGAGCGATAGTAAGAATGTGAAGAATATCTGAACACTGGGAACCCCGGGAAGTCGGTTACAGTAAAACCACGTCAATTGCGTAACAGATTTATTGAGAGACTGGCTCACACATGCAAGGTTGAATATACCCTCTTATTTTTATAAATATAAAATATAGAATTACCTACATCACAGAATTATAGTAAACAATCAGCGCCGATGGTAAGCAGTCAGCGCCCCTCATGGACACCTGCAACAACGGAAAGCTTTTGGAGATTTGGGATTAAGGATTTAGGGATTGGGGAGGTAAGGATTGGGCCTCAGGTTACCTCACTCACACGGCAAAACACAACGCTGTGGTTGTTTCACGTCGGTTTTCTGTGAGGCCGTGGTATCATTCCGATCGAGCCGACCCATTCGTGCCGAAGCGTGGCTCTCCCAAACTTAATAAATAACCCTTTCTTCCAGAGTATCAGCTTGGAGCCGAGTCCGGAGGTCTTGGCGAAGGTGCTGGCCCTGGTTTCTGATCACGTGGACCTGTTGCTGGAGGACTGGTATCCCTCACTTGGTGAGTGCTTTTAACAGAATTGCAACTAAATCCCCTAACACGATCACAGCGCCATCTGGTGAGCGCAAATTTTTTAGCCTTTTTAAATAATTATGAAAAGTTCCGATAGTCTTTTTACTTTTTATGCATTTTTTCTTTCGCTTTATTCTTAATACACAGACCTTTTTACCCAAAACAAACCATTTTATCAATTCTACAATGAAATAAAATAAAATACTAATGTAACAAAGAAATGTATTGTAAAACTGATTTAAAAAGAGTAACCATGGAGTTTCTTGCTCGTTCTTCTCCATAGGAATCTACACTTTGGAACGAGCAAATAGCTTCACTAGAGGACTGACCGACAGACTGACACGCTTAATTTTAAAGTTCTTGAAATACTCTTTTCCTTTTTTTTTTTGCTTGACGTTCAAAGTGCCTACTGTGGTCTAATTGAAATAAATGATTTTGACTTTGACTTTGACTATGTGAAAGTTTGTGTGAATGTATATTTTTGAATCATGACTTCTCCGACGTGCGTGAGGCGAGAGAGAGTGTCAGACTCATACTGTCTTCCCCTTCCCTTCATCCCTGTGTAAGAATGTATGTTTGTTACTCTTTCACGCATAAACGGCTACACCGATTTGATTGAAATTTTGTATGTATAGATGATATCCTTAATTAACATACAGGTTGCTTTTACCAACATACAACGCTATCTTCAAATATCTAATGTTATCGTCATAATATCCCTCTCTCCAGGCACTCGCTTCGTGCATACGTCGGAGGGTCGGTGCCTGATCACTCGCGTGGTGCCGTGTCCGGAGTGCCTGCAGCCCGCCCCGCCCTCACATGAACACGAACATCTCGCACAGGTGAGGAACCTTCCCAAATCAAACAAACGCTATAATTCCCTTCCCTTCATTCCCTCCTCAATCCCTGAATCTATAAACCTCTATTTTTTATGAGGAGAAAATCATTAAATGGCTTTTCTCGTCCAAAGTGAGACGAGAGGGAGTTTTAGACTCTTAGTGACTTAAAACAACCGTTCCTCCTCCTGCTCGTATTGAACCTCCCGGAAGCCAGGAGCCAGGTTTTATAGGCAGTTCGATGAATTGGATAGTCCCTAAGTCAAAAATAAATTAATTCGACGTTTCAATATAATAAAATATTGATAAATAACTATACTTTTATTCATTTATTTGTCGATATACTAATTTTTAGATATTTTGTAGAAGATTTTTAAGAAATAAGTAAGCTATTTGACGCAAAAATACTATGACGTCATAACTCAGCGTTTCATCACAAATTTCATAGAAAAGTATCGTTTTTGACATTTGGATTAAAGTATTGAATTTGACTAGTTGGAAACTACCTTATTGTTTTCAATGGATTATAAAGTTACAACAATATATTAGAAAGAATATAGACCCGATACAGCATGACGTTTGCCTCTTTAAGAGAATTTTAACAATATGTTTTTTTTTATGGTATAAGTCGGCAAACGAGCAGACGGATTACCTGATGGTAAGCAATCAGCGCCGCCCATGGACACCCGCAACACCAAATGAGTAACGAGTGCGTTGCCGGCCTTTTGGGGATAGGGGTTGCGGATAAAAGGAACGGGAAAGGATAGGAGAAGGGGAAGGATTGGGCCTCCGGTAACCTCACTCACACGGCGAAACACAACGTTGTGGTTGTTTCACGCCGGTTTTCTGTAAGGCCGTGGTATCAGTCCGGTCGAGCCGACCCATTCGTGCCGAAGCTTGGCTCTCCCACACATAATGTAAATAAATATTGTCATTGTTATATTCTACAGGCATTCAGACGCTTAGAGCTGGGTCCAGCGGAGCCACGTCGTCTCCGTCTGTCTGAGGAGTCAAGGGCTTCTGACGGAGACAGCGGCGTTGGGGCCGAATCCAACGGTGAGTTTTATGTAGAGAGTATTTCTAATATATTTTTGGAAACGTAGTGGATCGTACTTTTATTTAAATCATACTGTCTTTTGCCCGCGACTTCGTTCACGTGGAATAGTAACTTTCTGCAGATTTTTGTTATAAAAAGTATCCTATGTCCTTTCTCGAGTGCTAAACTATGTCTGTACTAAATTTATTTCATAGAAATCGGTTCAATAGTTTAGGCGTAATTCCACTTTCCAATTTATAATATATTTTTTTTTTAATCCTTGCCCCACATTAGGATTTTCTCCTGTGTCGTGGGTACGGTTACAAACATACAATTTCACATACACATGGCACTCAGACCCGGAACAACAATTTGTAGATCACACAAAGAGTGGTTCCGTGCGGGAATCGAACCCGCGACACGTTGCACGGCAGCCCAGCCACCGCACCAACTGTGCAATCAATATTAGTTTGGATTGTATATTTATATGTAAGATTCAATCTATGATTGTTTATTTTCCCAAATAAAATAAAATAAAATAGAGAGTGAAATTGAATAGATGCAACAAATTTCAACATACAATAATACGTGTTGTCAAGAAAATTTAAAACATATCTAATGTAAAATTAATAAACATTTAAAATAGGTAAAATGAGGTGAATGAGCGCTATGAATGGCAACTTATAATAACATGGGGCATTGCATTATGTCGGACGAGATTTCTTGATATTTTAATTTTTATAATTTACTAGCGGCCCACCCCGCTTCGCACGGGTCCAACTATCTCGCTTTCAAGGGTCACTTTTTCCTAATCTTCCCCTCCACTTTCCTAATATTTCCTTCGATAAGAACCTTCTCCTGACAATACCAACAAAACGAAAAAAGAATTAGCAAAATTGGTCCAGGCGTTGTTGAGTTATGCGCTTACCAACACATTTTGCGATCCATTTTTATATATAAGATTATTAAAAATATGGATAATGTTAATTATAGCAATGTCATCCATTAGATTGACATATAAACCATTTTTTTTTATGTAATAAGTCGGCAAACGAGCAGACGTATTACCTGATGGTAAGCAATCAGCGCCGCCCATGGACACTCGCAACGGAGGAGTTACGAGTGCGTTGTCGACCTTTTAGGGATTAGGGATTTGTAGATTTAGGGATTAAGGAGGGATTGGGGAAGGGGAAGGATTGGGCCTCCGGTAACCTAACTCACACGGCGAAACACAACGCTGTGGTTGTTTCACGCCGGTGTTCTGTGAGGCTGTGGTATCACTCCGGTCGAACCGACCCATTCGTGCCGAAGCATGGCTCTCCCACACCTACCATAATAGCCACATATTAACCATAGATCAATAATTGTAAGTATAAGATCGTGCCATTAAAAAAACACCCCCCTCCCAGCGTCGTCCCGTTTAGGTTCAGTGGAGGGCGTGGTAGGGCAGGACCCCCCCCGATACAGCGCGGCGACGGCGTGGACGGTGGAGCAGTGCATCCTGGCGGCCTGCACCAACACCGCGCTGCACTGCCCCCTGCACAACGACACCGCGCTGCAACTCAGGCTCGTCGCGCCCGATACTGTGAGTTCTGTATATTTTTTTTTTATATTGAATTACATTTTATTTTATTTTATTTTATTTTATTTTATTTTATTTTATTTTATTTTATTTTATTTTATTTTATTTTATTTTATTTTATTTTATTTTATTTTATTTTATTTTATTTTATTTTATTTTATTTTATTTTATTTTATTTTATTTTATTTTATTTTGTTTTATTTCTTTGTTAATATTAATTACAAAAAGAACTGACTCATTTCTCCTTTGGCGTAGCGGGTGTCCATGGGCGGCACTGATTGCTTACCATCAGGTAATCCGTCAGCTCGTTTGCCGAGCTATACCATAAAAAATCTTAAATTCTTTCACAGCTCTTACTAGACGTAGAGGAAACAAAGAGGGCCCGATGGGAACATATCCAAAGGGGCGCGGTAGCCGGCCGGGGGGCCTTCGGTACCGTCCTATCAGCCATATGGAAGGTCCCACCAGGCTCTCACGGCCCCACGGAGCCCGTACACGTGGCTCTGAAGGCTCTACAACCTGTCCCTCCTCCGGCGAGCAGCGATACTGCAGCGCATCATGCTTATAAGGTAATTATAAGCTACTACCTTTTACCCGCGACTCCGTTCGCGTGGAATAGTGACTTCTGCAGATTTTTGGTATAAAAACTATCCTATGTCCTTTTTCGAGTTCCAAACTATGTCTGTCGAAATTTCACAGAAATCGGTTCAGTAGTTTAGGCGTGAAGAAAAGACAGATAGACAGAGTTATTTTCGCAATTATAATATTAGTTTGGATTTTAATAGTAGGATTTTCTCTTGTGTCGTGAGTGCGTTTACAAACATACAAAGTCACATACACATCACACCCAGACTCACGGAACAACAATTTGTGGATCACACAAAGTGTTGTTCCGTGCGGGAATCGAACCCGCGACACGTTGCACGGCAGCCAGTTGCCCAGCCACCGCACCAACCGTGCAGTCAATAATGTGAGACGAGAATTTTATGAAAGTATATAAGATTTTAAACCCCTCCTCACTTCATAGGCGGCTTTATCCCGCTGGGAGCGTGAACCCACGGCGGCGGCGTGTCGCGCGTACTGCGGCCTGCGCCAGGAGCTGAGCATCCTCAGCCAGCTTCGCCACCACCACGTGTTGCCACTGCTGGCAGTCTGCGCGGCCCCATTAGCTCTATTACTGGCGTTGGCACCATGCGTAAGTATCTTACCGTTTAAAAATATATAAATTATTAAAAAAAAAAAAACCCGACAAAAAACATAAGTGTGGGAGAGCCATGCTTCGGCAGGAATGGGTCGGCTCGACCGGAGTGATACCACGGCTTCACAGAAAACCGCCGTGAAACAACCACAGCGTTGTGTTTCGCCGTGTAGGTAAGTGAGGTTACCGGAGGCCCAATCCTTCCCCTCCCCCAATTCCTCCTCAATCCCAAAATATCCAAATCCCTAATCCCTAAAAGGTCGGCAACGCACTCGTTTCTCCTCGAGTTGTTGCGAGTGTCCATGGGTGGCGCTGATTGCTCACCATCAGGTGATTTGTATTTGTCAAATAGACCACAGCAGGCACTTTTGAACGTCAAGCAAAAAATAAGAAAAAAAAATATTTCAAAAGGTTTAACTTTATGCGTGTCAGTCGGTCCGTCTGTCCTCTAGTGAAGCTATTTGCTCGTTCCAAAGTGTAGATTCCTATGGAGAAGAACGAGCAAGAAACTCCATGGTTACTCTTTTTCAATCAGTTTTACAATACATTTCTTTGTTACATCATTTAATTGGTTCTTTTATATATGAGATACTTCGCTTAAAGCTATTTAAGCTAAATATATTTAACAGCTTACTAAGTTAACTGTTTCGAGTTAACTGGACTAGTTTCAAGTTACAACCGGAACTCATATTCTATCATTAACCGCGTCGTGTTTCGCTAGAAACTGCTCCTGGATTTAAGCCCCAAACGCAGCTTGAAATAAGTCGAGTTGCGTTGAGAATTGAGAGCATAGTACCTTTAAAGATATGTGTAAATCATAGACCGCGACGTGTTTCGTTCAAAACTGCTCCTAAATATAAGCCCCTAACGTAACTTGAAACAAGTCGAGTTACCTTGAGAATTGAGAGCATACCTTTAAAGATATGTGTAAATCATAGACCGCGACGTGTTTTGTTCAAAACTGCTCCTAAATATAAGCCCCTAACGTAACTTGAAATAAGTCGAGTTACCTTGAGAATAGAGAGCATACCTTTAAAGATATGTGTAAATCATAGACCGCGACGTGTTTCGCTCGAAACTGCTCTTAAATATGAGCCCGTAACTTAGCTTGAAACTAGTCGAGTTACCTTGAGAACTGAGAGCATACCATTACCCTGTAACCTGCTTCTCTCCAGGGAGCTCTGGACGGGGTGCTCCGTAGTTACCGGTCCTGCGGCGCGCGCTGCTCCCCCCGCCTGGCGCGGGCCCTCGCCCTCCAGGTGGCCAGGGCGCTGGAGTACCTTCACGCACGGAGAGTGGTCTATAGGGACCTGAAGGTAAGTTGATTCAGTTTCTATCTACATATACTAATAATATAGGGAGGTAAAACTGGTAAGTTTGTATGTAGGGGTTAATCTTTGGAACCGCTGGTCGGGTTGCCAAAATTCTTTCACTGATAGATAGCTACAATGTTCCTGAGTGCTATAGGCTATTAAACATCACGCTACGATTAAATGGAGCCGAGCAGCGGGTGAAACCGCGCGAGAGTTTTACCTCGTTATAATATTAGTATAGATGATAATATCTTATTATTTTGTGATTGTATATGTAATAAAGTAAAATAAAATAGTAGTATAGTAAAAACTGTTTTGGTTTTTCAGTCGGAAAATGTTTTAGTTTGGAAGATGCCTCGTCCCGGCGAAGATGTCAATGGCACTACGCTTAACGTACACGTCAAACTGGGAGATTACGGTCAGTGACACTTTTATATTAATTATAACAATTTATACTCCTTTTTTATGTATTATTTATTTATTCATTTTGCACAATGTACATATAATGTCAAGTATAACATACAGCCAGTACAGTACATTACCCTGTTAGGGCGCAGCAATTTAACTTATAACTAAATAATAATACATGTTATATTTTTTATTACATTCGTTGTCACTTAATGAACACTATATGAACTTATTTATTAACTATTAAATGTATTATCACAAACACTTTTATGCATTATTAATAGGTTGCCATATGAGCAGACGGATTACCTGATGGTAAGCAATCATCGTCGCCCACGGAAACCCGCAACAACGGAGGAATTACGAGTGTGGCGCCGACCTTTTGGAGATTAGGGATTTGGAGAGTTTGGCGTTGGGGGGGGGGGGAGATTGAGGGAGGTTAAGAAGGATTGGCCCTCTGGTAGCCTCACTCAAACGGCGACACCTGTGTAGTCTATGCTTAAATATTTAAGACAAGATTTTAAAGCCCCAGGCTTTTTTTTAAAAGAAAAAAAAAACGTTGCCCCACTTTAGGATTTTCTTCTGTGTTGTGGGTGCGGTTACAAACATACAATGTCACATACACATGACACCCAGATCCGAAACAACAATTTGTGGATCACACAAAGTGTTGTTCGAACCCGCGACACGTTGCACGGTAGCCAGTTGCCCAGCCACCGCACCAACCGTGCAGTCACAAGGCTTTGCTCTCATCATTTGACTACCTACACTACCTTTCCTTCAATACTTTCCCTACACTACCTTCCCAGAAGTCAAAAATCAAAAATCATTTATTCCAATTAGACCCTTGCTTGCATATTGTTGTGGTGGCCCAGAGGTTAAGGAGCCCGCTTCTCATGCTAGAAGGTGTGGGTTCGAAACCTGGCAAGTACCAATGTGACTTTATCCAAGTTATATGTACTTTCTATGATTATTTAGACACCACTGACATGCGGTGAAGGTAAACATCGTGAAGAAACCTGGACTTACAATTTCTAATTATAAGTTTGAAATTGGCAATCAGCCTTGAGCAAGCGTGGTGGCTAATGCTCTAATCTTCCCCCTATGAGAAGAGGCCTTTGCTCAGCAGTGGGCACTTATAGGCTGATGATGACGATGATGAAAGATCCTTGCAGGCACTTTTGAACGTCAAACAAAATTTTAAGGATATAAAGTGTCAGTCTGTCGGTCAGTCCAGCAGACCCGCGCTTACGGTGGCCGGAGATCATCTCTCTACTCTACCACCTTAGTTACCTTCCAACACTATCTAACCTTAATTAACATAATATATATAAAAAAAGTTTTACAAGAGAAAAAAAAAGTTGGAAGTTTCTTTTGCTTGTAGGATATTCACAAACTTAAAATTTAAAAAATACCGCCGTCCTGATATCTTTGTGCAACGCGTTCCCAAGCTAAATTATTTAATTTTTTACTTTATAATTTTTCCATCAGGTATAAGTAGGCTGGCTCCCCCATCGGGGACGAAAGGTTTCGGTGGAACTGAGGGCTTCATGGCGCCCGAGATCATGCGGTACAATGGAGAGGAAGAGTATAATGAGAAGGTGGGTCCTTGCTTAGAATTTCGGCTACTATTTTTTTTATGTAATAAGTCGGCAAACAAGCAGACGGACAATCGCAACGGAGTAGTTACGAGTGCGTTGCCGACCTTTAAGGGATTAGGGATTTGGAGATTTAGGGATTGGGGAAGGGGAAGGATTGGGCCTCCGGTAACCTCACTCACACGGCGAAACACAACGCAGTGGTTATTTCACGCCGGTTTTCTGTGAGGCAGTGGTATCACTCCGGTCGAACCGACCCATTCGGGCCGAAGCATGGCTCTCCCACATTTTACAGTGTTGTTACTGTCACAATCTACAAGTCAGTGATAAGGCCTGTCCTACTGTATGGGTCAGAATGTTGGGCTCTGAAAAAGACGGATGAAAAGCGATTGCATGTAGCAGAGATGAGAATGCTGAGATGGATGCGTGGTGTGACGAGAATGGATAAAGTGAGAAATGAGTATATTAGAGGAAGTTTGAAAGTGGCGCCAGTGACTGAAAAGTTGAAAGGGAACCGTTTGTCTTGGTATGGCCATGTGAAAAGGAGGGATGAAATGCATGTTAAAAAAAAAGCCATGAGTATAAATGTGGATGGATGGAGAGGGAAGGGGAGACCAAAGAAAATATGGATGGATTGTGTGAGAAGTGATATGGAAGACAGAGGAGTTAGCGATAGCGTGACGGGTGAGAGGACAGAATGGAAGAAAAAAACATATTGCGCCGACCTCAAATAAAACGGGACAACTGCTTCGCACGGGTATCCGACTACCCCGGTGTCAGTCATTTGTTTTGCAAGCCAACGGCCACGATGCTTGAGGGGCTGTTAATTCTCGCTATTCTCCTCTACTTTTCTAAAGTTTTCTCTCGTAAGAACCTTCTCCTGACAATAACAAACACAACAAAAAAAGAATTAGCAAAATTGGTCCAGGCGTTGTTGAGTTATGCGCTTACCAACACATTTTTATATTATAGATTATGCAGTCGCATTACCTGATGGTAAGCAATCGGCGTTGTCAATTGCACCCGCAACACCAAAGGAATTATGAGTCCGTTAACGTTAATTCCTTTTGGGAATAAGGGTTTCGGATATTTAAAGATTGGAAGATGTGGCCTCCGGTAACCTCACTCACACGGCGAAACACAACGCTGTGGTTGTTTCACGCCGGTTTTCTGTGAGGCCGTGGTATCACTCCGTTTGATTTCCTCTCTACAAAAAAGGAGTTATTCAAATAATAAATAAGTATTTATTCTCCGCAGGTGGACTGTTTCTCCTACGGTATGTTGTTGTACGAAATCGTGACTGTCCGACAGCCGTTTGAAGGTCACGAAGCTGTAAAGGAAGCCATCTTGGAGGGGGCCAGACCCTCACTGTCTCCGAGGGTAAGTTTTATAATTTTTAATATCGGTTGCTGCTCGGCTCCTGTTCATCGTAGCGTAATGTTTTATAGATCGTTACCTTCCTAGATAATTGGACTATCCAACATAAAAAGTATTGTTCAATTCGAACCAGCAGTTCTGGAGATAGGCGCGTTCATACAAACATATTTAATAGTTTTATAATATTAGTACCTATAGGTGTTTGTTATTGACTATAACGAGTTAGTCTGTTACACGAGAAAAGCTGTACTAGTTATTTATTACGCGTTGTTGCGACGCGCATTCTGCTCCAAAAGAAGAGTCCCTGTTTTCGCACTACTCTACATTTGCACTGAACTACTACTGGAGGACACAAACGAAACAATAACTTGTCTCGAGGGAACGTAATCGTAACTGATAAAAGTAACAGATATTTTTTCAAATACCAAGTAACAATTGTTCCTACCGACTTATTTTATCTGTTATTTTAATAACAGGCAAACGGCACTGTTACATGGGTTATTACTGTTATTCATTGTACCAGTCCCCACACACATTCAGACTACTTCGTTACACACGTATTCATTTCATTTTCTCTTTTCCTTATTAAAGAATGACTTTTGCTAAAAAGAGACACACCTATTATGTACTCGACATACGGAATCGTTACTTATTGTTTATTCGATTTCCAACTTAAAATAGAAAGTAAGAACGAAGATATTCAATTGAAATTTTATAATAACTATCGTGAGACATACTAAATTAACTAAAAATCGCGGGTTACTCACGTGTACATATTGAGAAAAGCTCTACTAGTTTCGAACCACAGAGGGGTTCCACGCGGCGACCGCGTCCGCGTCCGCGCACGCTGCTCATGAGGAAGAACCCCAACAAAAATAACAGGCTGTTATTTAATAACAGATATTTTGATCTGTTATTTTCATGTAACAGTAACAGTGATAACAGATATCGTGTTTCACCTGTTACAGTTGTTAGAGATGGGTATCTCTAGTACTGAACCATTACTTACACAAATGTTACAACAGCTTGTCTTAAGAGAACTTAAATTTATTACGAACCGTCACACACTTATATGACCAGCGGAGAAACTTAACACCGCAATGTAGAAAATCAAGGTCAATGCACAACTCCATCTATGGTAGAGCTTGGAAAACAATACGCGACGGTGCGTTCAGCGCAACGCCATCTATACTTTAGTGTAAGAACCAACGTTACGTTCACGACTGAACAGTCCCGTTGTGACTTGAAACTAGTCGAGCTCTTCGCAGTTAATTCACGTGAGTCGTTATTATAGATACTATACAAAAAATGTGTGACTTATTTTCTAATTAGGTTAGGTCAAAAATGCGGAAAAAAGGTTATCGAAGCCCCAATCCCTAAATACCTAATCCCAAAAGATCGGTAATTCACTTGTTAACTCTTCCGTTGTCAATGGGCGGCGCTGGTTGCTTGCCATCAGGTAATCTGCCTGGTCGTTTGCCGACCTGTCACATAAAAAATGTCCACGATGTATGCGGCAGGACCTGGAGTACCCTTGCTGCATGCTGGAGAGCATGCGGCGATGCTGGGCGGGCGCGCCGGCGCTGCGTCCGTCGGCGGCGGCGCTGGTCAGCGTGGCGGCCGCGCCCGAGTACATAGCGCTGGCCGACGCCGCCGCCGCGCGACGGGCCCTCGCCGCCGCCGCCACGCCCATACGGAACGTTAGCGGTCAGTCTATACATATTATTATTTATTTAGGTTTGCATTGATATTTTTTGTAGACTCTTTGACTTTAACTTTTGACTTTAACTTTGATTATCACCTTTGACTTTGAATTTAGACTTTGACTTTTGACTTAGACTTTCACTTTTGACTTTAATTTTCACTTTTGAATTTGACTTTCACTTTTGACTTTGACTTTCACTTTTGACTTAGACTTTCACTTTTCACTTTGAGTTTTGACTTACTTACACTCTTGGCTTTGATTAAAATGTATACTCTGTCTTTGTCTTTAATATTAATCATTGACACTTATTTATCCATGACTGTTCTTTCGACTTTTCAAAGTGTTTTTTCCCTCTTTATTGTTATTTTTTTACATTGTTTTTTTTATGTAGCTGACCTTCATTTTTATGCTGAATAAACGCATAATTCTTTCTCTCTTTCTAAAATCACTTTATTTCAATAGAGGAAGGAGTCCCTGGGTGGGAGATATGGTACGGTGGGGGGGAGCCGGAGCGAGCTCACACTCTACTGAGCACCGCGACCTGCTTCACCCACCACCATACCGTCAGGGTACCGCCAGGTAACTGACAACAACATCTTTTATATACATTTTCATCAACCAGAGGTAAAATATATAAAAAAACTCAAACTACAACATGTTTTTATTTTCATTTACCAAGCAAAATCAAATTCTTACAATAGTTAATTCTAACATTTTACTAAGAAGTTAATACTAAAGAACTACAAGATTATAGATTAGGCAAGTTGACTTGAAGAGCAGCGGGTAAAACCGCGCGAGAGTAGCTAGATTTCAATAATTTATTTTCCTTTTTAGATAAAGCGGAACCTGTTATGGTTACCGCTATATGTCGGGTCGGGAACAAGATCTGGTTGGGAGACTCCGCTGGCAGGATAACAGTATATTCGTAAGTATAAAACACTCCCTCCTAGAAGGTCGGCAACACGCCTCTGACTCCTTTAGTGTTGCGGGTGTACATGGGCGGCGCTGATCACTTACCATCAGGTGATCCGTCTGCTCGTTTGCCAAATATTCCATTAAAAAAACATTGAGTCATCCAAACTTCCAAACTAATATTATAAATGTGAAAGTAACTCTGTCTGTCTGTCTTTTCTTCACGCCTAAACTAATGAACCTATTTCTGTGAAATTTGGTACAGATGTAGTTTGGAACTCAATAAAGGACATAGGATAGTGGTTATACCAAAAATTTGCAGGAAGTCACTATTCCACGCGAACGGAGTCGCGGGCGAAAGCTAATTTTTCTGAATTACTTCTGAATTTGTTTCGACATTTGCTCTCACAATAGTCCGATTGGAATTGCCATTTGAGAAGTAGAGGATTGGGGGTTTGTGGATTTCAGATGGACTACCTGATGATAAGCAAGACCAAAGGGGTAAAGAGTGCGTTGCCGATCTATTGGCGATTCAGATTTCAGAGATTTAGGGTTGGTATGGAGGGAGAGGCGGTAGGGCGCCCTCCAGCTAGGTGGACTGACGACATCCGCAGGGTGGCTGGCAGTGGTTGGATGAGAAGAGCTGAACATCGAGCTCAGTGGCGTGCTATTGGGGAGGCCTATGTCCAGCAGTGGACGACAACAGGCTGATGATGATGATGGAGGGAAAGGAAGGATTGGGCCTCCGGCGTAACACAACGGTGTGATTGCTTCTCGCCGATTTTCTTTGAGGCCATGGTATCACTCCAGTCGAGCCGACCCATTCGTGCCGAAGCATGGCTCTCACACACTATTCAATTAGCCGCTTAAGCTTAACTATTTGTTTCAGTGCAGCAAGTTGTGCCCAAGAGTGGTCGGTGCGAGTCCAGGAGGCTGTGGGAGGAGCGCCCTCCCCCGTGGCCGCGTTACACCCACTACCTCAGCTACGGAGGGTCGCGTTAGCACTCGCTTGTGGAAGGTAAAAAAGGACCTATAATTTAAGGCGCCCGCTTCTCATGCATGAGGTTTCGAAACCTGGCAAGTACCAATGTAACTTTTTCCGAGTTATATGTACTTCCTATGATTATTTAGACACCACTGGCATGCGGTAAAGGTAAACATCGTGAGGAAACTTGGACTTATAATTTCTAATTATAAGTTTGAAATCGCCAACCCGCATTGAGCAAGCGTGGTGATTAATGCTCAAACCTTCTCCGTGTGAGAAGAGGCCTTTGCTCAGCAGTGGGCACTTATAGGCTGATGATGTGATATTTTTGTCATAATAGGCGGTTTCATTTTTATTCTGCTCACTAGATGGCCCCACTGTAGCGTTTGGGCATTTTTGTCCAATCATAAAGTTGACATTTTTTTTTGTCAAATGGTATTCGGATAGCCTATCTCTCCTTGTTTTGATGATATAGGTCAGCAAACGAGCAGACGGATTACCTGATGGTAAGCAGTCAGCGCCGCTCATGGACATCCGCAACATCAAAGGAGTTGTTGTCGAGTGCGTTGCCGGCCTTTTAGGATCCTTATTGTCCTTAGAAATCCTGGTGGATACTTAGATCACAGTCACTCTGAAATGACTTTTATTGATTTTCAGACTATTTTTGGTATCGTCACGTCGACCTGAAGCTGAGGGCAGCTTCGTTTTGACTGAACTTGGAACTGCAACTGAGCTCCTCTGCCTAACCGCTGTGCCATCGCCGCATGGGTAAGTTAATATTTAAATAATAATATTCATTATTATTTTAATATGTGATAGGTCGGCAAACGATTAACGAGTGCGTTGCCGACCTTTTGGCAATTAGGGATTAGGGGAGAAAGGATCGGGCCTCCGACCTCACACGGCGAAACACAACGCTGCGGTTGTTTCACGCCGGTTTTCTGTGAGGCCGTGGTAACACTCCGGTCGAGCCAGAGGAAACCTGAACTAATACCCTAACTGTTTAGGCAATAAGGATGGTTTTAGCTTGAAACGATTTTCGCATTAAAACTACATGTGGACTGTTTGACTTTTTATTTTGAACTAACTTAATGACGGTGTTTAGTGGACTGTATAAAAGTAAAAGCTATAACTATAGCTAGGTAGGTGCATCGCACACTAACTTGATTAAACACTAACCTAATATCTAATTATAAGTTTGAAATCGCCAATCCGCCTTGAGCAAGCGTGGTGATGAGCTAAACCCTTCTCCGTGTGAGAAGAGCCCTTTGATCAGTAATATTCTTGTAACTCAAAAAAAGATAGCTGCTGCCTTTTACATTTTAGCCTTATCATAATGTTTGCCCCAACAGATGGGAGGTTTGGGCGGGAGGGGACGGCCTCTACTCCTACTCAGTGAATGAGGGCGGAGTGTGCGCTGCGGACGTCCTCCCTGCCTCACCTCGAGTCACTCTCATTGCTGCATCCAATGATGAACCGTTTGTCGCCGTTTATTGTGATCCGGGTGAGTGTGTCAAGTGCAATCTCCATGAATGTACATCCACGAACATCCATCAACATCTATAAGCATCCTTCAACATCCATCAACATCGACAAACATCAATCAACATCCACAAACATCCTTCAACACCCACATCACCATCCATGAACATCCACAAACAAACACCCATCATCATCCATAAACATCCATCGACATAATCATCGACAAAAATCCTTCAGCGTACACAAACACTCTTTCACATCCACAGACATCCATAAACATCCACAAAAATCCTCAAACTTCTTTCAACATCCACAAGCATCCATCAACGTCCGTAATCATCCATCTACATCCACATCACCATCCATGAACATCCATCAACATCCATCAACATCCATCAACATCCACAAACATCCATCAACATTCCCAATCATCAATCAACATCCACATCACCATCCATGAACATCCACAAACATTAACAAACATCCATAAACATCCAAACTCACCCACAGTCTCCCTGTACAGGTGTATGCGTGTACCAATGGTCTGTGCGTACGAAACAGCAGTGCGCGAGATTGGACTGCAGTAAGCTGGTCCCCTGCTCCGAATCCTTGCAGTCCATAGCCCTGGATGAACATCTTAGTGAAGATAAGTGCAGGGTGAGTCTGGAGGGGGCCTTTTTTATGTGATTTTTTTTTATTTAGGATCTCCAACAAAGGATATACACAAATCATGAAATAATTATAAATCATTAGCCCAGACAGATTACAAACAAGACACGACCAGGTTGCTAACATAATTCATCAGAAACTAGCTCACAAATACAAACTCGTAGAATCAATTGTTCCGTATTATAAATATAATCCCGAAACTGTTTTGGAGAACGACACAACTAAACTATATTATGACCGGCCGATTTTTACCGACCGCACCATTCACTATAACAGACCAGATATCACGTTAATTAATAAAACAAATAAAACTGGATTTCTAATAGATATTGAAAGATATTAAACTATAGTTTATAGGAGATGGAGGGAAAGGTTTACCCCCGGTTTCTGAAAGGCTTGTCAACGCTAAAATTAACTAATCTCCTGTTAAATCTCTTGTCAAGTCATCTGATTGGTTGTTGATAATTCAGTCAACCAATCAGATGACTTGACAAGAGATTAAATTGATTTTAACATTGATCGGCCTTTCGGAAACCGGGGGTTAGTCAGTAAGAGTCTGACATTCACTGAGAGAAGTCATTTGATATAAAATAATATCCATAACTGTAACCGAATTCGAAACAAAAGTTTCGGATAAATATTATAGAAATAAGCATTGGGCGTGACCATTTTATCAGCTTTAGATTTCGCCCGCGACTCCGTTCGCGTGGAATAGTGACTTCCTGCATATTTTTGGTTCAAAACTCTATCCCATGTCCTTTCTCGAGTTCCAAACTATGTCTGAACCGAATTTCACACAAATAGGTTCAGTAGTTTAGGCGTGAAGAAAAGTCAGACAGACAGAGTTACTTTCGCATTTATTATGTAAGTTTGGATTGATATTACTTTTGAAATTCCCTTAAAAAATTTAATATCGGTAACTGAACAAATTCTGAACTAACGGATAATCCGAAAAAAATACATAAGTACCCGTATTCGAATCCGGTATCATAATCATTATTATTTAATAATTAAAATAATAATTTAATAATTAAAATATTTTTTAAGTTGGAAATCATCAAGCCGGAGCATAGTTTGCTCAATTCACTTTAAAGATTAATATATTTATGACAAAAGTGGTTTACAAAGACTGAAGAAAACAGCAACTCCTACTAACTATACTAATTATAATGCTGAAGAGTTTGTTTGTTTGTTGGGTTTTCCCAAAAAAATATATCTTACCCTTCTTTTGTAAAACCCCAAACCAAGGGTATTGTTCCGCTGTCGGCAACACTACGTGGGCCGAATATAATACCGAATGGCGTAGTAGGTGGCGACGCGTAGCGTTTATAACATTTGCGGAAGCTGTCAAATAAAACAATGTAAAAATTATAATTTTCTTTGCAAATATAAATAAAACCAAAGATTAAAAATAGTATCGTTGACATTATTTAAGTGCAATTTATTCAATAGTTTTACTGTAAAATTAATATAAAAATAAAAACCGACGGCTGATCATCCGCATTTGTTTCCAATTTCTGCCGTGTTGTGCGCTGCGGTCGTTATCTGTCCGCCACTACTCGCTTTGCACATAGCCAATATGCTACTTTATGAGGAAGTGTGTTGAAAAATAAGTAATTTTTTGCTTCCCCAGGTAACAGCGCTATGCGCTCTCCGCTGCGAACTCTACATAGGTACAGCCTGGGGATGCATCATAGTCGCTGACTCCACGACCCTGCGACCTCTAACCGTCTTCCGACCTTATGAAGAAGATGTGAGTACTTTTTTATGGTATAGGTCGGCAAACGAGCAGACGGATTACCTGATGGTAAGCAATCAGCGTCGCCCATGGACACTCGCAACAACGGAGTACGTTGCGGGCCTTTCGGGGATTAAGGTTTGGAGATTTGGGGACTAGGTACAGATTGGGGGAGGACTGGGCCTCTAGTAACCTCACTCACACACCTCAAACACAACGCTGTGGTTGTTTCACGCCGGTTTTCTGTGAGGCCGTGGTATCACTCCGGTCGAGCCGACCCATTCGTGCCGAAGCTTGGCTCTTACACATTGATTTAAATACTAGCTTTTACCCGCGACTTTGTTCGCGTGGAATAGTGACTTGCTGCAGATTTTTGGTATAAAAACTATCCTATGTCCTTTCTCGAGTTCCAAACTATGTCTGTACCAAAATTTCACACAAATAGGTTCAGTAGTTTAGCCGTGAAGAAAAGACAGACAGACAGAGTAACTTTCGCATTTATAATATTAGATTGGATTACTATTATTATTTGTTTACAGGTAAAATTGATCATACCCCTGCATCCACATAGAGAAGAGGAACCAGGTATGATAGCTACCTTCGGACACGGGTACCGGCCTTTACTGCAGCGATACGCGCCTCATGTAAGTATGACACGGATGACAACAATGTTAATATCTAAACAGGTCTTTTGAAGACCTACCAAGATTGTTTGAATCGTTCCATAATTAGAAACAACAATTTGACAACTGCAAATGTCAAACTACAAAATAATGTGGCCAGATTTTTTAACATAGTGATGGACCCGAGTACGGTGTTTTAAAATACTGATACCGTTTTTTTATAGATTACCCTGAGCAATACAAAAAAAGTTGCGGATATGTTTTTTATAGAATAATTGTACCTAGTTATTAATGTATGAAGCTAAAAATGAACTCGGAGCAATATGGAAAGATCAGAGATCGGATGGGAGCGATATTACAATCTGACTGACAGACATTATTTTTATAATTATAGAAACCAATACCAACGTATTTCTAGGCTTAAATTATGTTTGACATTCCCTCTATCAAATTGCTGTGAGGAAATGCCAAAGCTGACCATAGTTTAAGTGTGGGAGAGCCGTGCTTCGGCACGAATGGGTCGTCTCGACCGGAGTGATACCACGGCCTCACAGAAAACCGGCGTGAAGTAACCACAGCGTTGCGTTTCGCCGTGTGAGTGAGGTTACTGGAGGCCCAATCCTTCCCCTCCCCCAATCCCTCCTTAATCCCTAAATCTCCAAATCCCTAATCCCTAAAAGGTCGGCAACGCACTCGTAACTCCTCCGTTGCGGGTGTGCATGGGCGGCGCTGATTGCTTACCATCAGGTAATCCGTCGGCTCGTTTGCCGACCTATCACTTAAAATAAAAAAAAATATAGTTTCTTGTAAAATAATTATATCATATCAATGCCAATAGTTAATAGTATTACAAATGATTTCGGGTCTTTTGTTTAATACCGGTCGCGGGACTTCACTATTTATAAATGGAATGGAAAAAACATGCAACACTTGAAATGTCAAATCGTTGTCTCTAATTATGGAACGATCTATAGATAATTTTTGTTTGATGTAATAGGTCGGCAAACGAGCAGACGGATTACCTGATGGTAAGCAATCAGCGCCGCCCATGGACATCCGCAACGGAGGAGTTACGAGTGCGTTGCCGACCTTTTAGGGATTAGGGATTTGGAGATTTGTGGATTGAGGAGTGATTGGGGGAGAAGAAGGATTGGGCCTCCGGTAACCTCACTCACACGGTGAAACACAACGCTGTGGTTCTTCCACGCGAGTTTTCTGTGAGGCCGTGGTATCACTCCGGTCGAGCCGACCCATTCGTGCTGAAGCATGACTCTCCCACACTTAAATAAGCGATGATGCGACCAAAAATGGAGCATATAATCAAAATAGACTAAAAAGCAAATATAATATTTATTTTCAGAACTCAAACACAACGAATACACACAATGGTTACTACTGCCTCCTATGGCGTACGCAGCATTGGTTTCCAGATTAAGCGACACAAGACTATCCCTGGACTAAATATCAAAGCAATGCTCTTAAAAAGGCATCTACGGTAAGACGCGTGGACTGAAAAGACAGACAAACAAGATTATTTTATGTACATATTTGCACAGCTAGCTTCTCTCGGATAGTTTCTGAAAATCCGACCAGCGGTTCCAAAGATACAAACTTAATTATACCGCTTCATATATACATATAATTCTGCTGTACCTGTCTAAGTCATTGGACTTCTCCTAAACGGCTTGACCGATTTAAATGATTTTTTCTGTATGCGTTTTAATGGCGCCCTGGATGGTTTAGATTCACAAATCAGCCCGGCAGATGGCGTTAATTGCTTGAAAAAGCATGTGATCTCGGAACGGCCCTAATGATTTAGCTGAAATTTGATATGTAGGGGCATTCGGGGAGGGTCCGCTAGTGTTCATATATATAACTAGGATCTCTCGGATGTTTTCACCCTCTGCTTGGCTCCATTTAATCGTAGCATGATGTTTTATAGCCTATGGCACTCGGGAACATTGTAGCTATCTATCAGTGAAAGAATTTTGGCAATCCGACCAGCGGTTCCAAAGATTACCCCCTACATACAAACTTAATTTTACCTCTTTATAATATTAGTGTAGATTTTTTGGTCTTAACAACGCGAGCTGCTTGAAAACAAAGTTACTTTGAGAATTATTTAATTAGTCTTAAAATTGATAGGGTCGTGCCTGCAGTTTAGACTGGTCTACTCAAACTTGTGTCGGTCTTTTCTGAGAAGACCATGTCATTATTCTCATCCATCCAAATCTCAAGTAAAACTCAATAAGGTACAGCGACCTCGGCCCAGAGCAGGACAAGGAACGGGGGTTTTTTTAGTCAGTAAGAGTCTGACACTCTCTCTCAGCCCATCCAGGGCCGGAGAAAAAAATAGGATGTTTTTCCTCCTTCCCAAAAAACCCATATAAATGTCAAGCACGAGTTTGGAGAACCTTCTCAATGGAGCCATATAAATGTCAAGATAAGCGCACGAGCTTGAATATTTAAACAAAAATCAATGTTTTTGCATTCCATAGATGGCGCTCGTGTCGATTTATGCTTTTATTGTCGTCAACTTGATTCGGTTGTAATATTGTTTAGTGGCCGATCAATGTTAAAATCAATTTAATCTCTTGTCAAGTAATCTGATTGGTTGACTGAATTATCAACAACCAATCAGATGACTTGACAAGAGATTTCACAGGAGATTAGTTAATTTTAGCGTTGACAAGCCTTTCTGAAACCGCGTGTAAGATAGTTACTTCCAATGATTATATGTACTGCAATGTTTAAGATATTTTCTTCTTTACCCCTTTAGAGGAACAAGAGAATTGATATTGTTGTATAGTCTCTATGTTTAGGTTGATAACTAAAGGTAAACAATGTTGGTGTGTCTTTTTATATTTAAGCTCGTATAAAGTACATACAAAGATTATTTAAATTCAGTTTATTAGCTAACATCGATTTAGGTGAATAGCTGATTGTAAACATTTTTACATACAGATTTTAAACATTAAAAGACATGACAAGATTGTTAACATTTAGTTAATTATCTAAACCGATAGACAAGAGACCTTTATAAATTTAATACTGTCAATATTGAATAACGCCATCTATATTGTGTCTCGAGAACTTATTCTTATTTATTTTGTGATTTTTGTAAATTAGGTTGTGTATGTGTTTGTGTTATTAATTTTGATGTTTTTTTTTTTCAATTATCCTGTATGGTCCATTTTGTTTTCTGTTGTTTAGTTCTTTTTTAGTTATAGAGGAGGTTTTAAAGTCAAAATCAAACATTCTATTAGTTAAGAACGCCATCTATTGGTATACCCGATGAACTATCTTGATTTTAGTTTACCTCTTTGTAAAGATAGATGTCGCCTCTATAACTAAAATTGACTTATAAGAGTATCAATATTATGGATAAGACAGTTAGACTTTTAGTCTAGTATTTAGCATTCTAGCACATCGTCCTAGACTCGATTTCCGAGTCGAGAAAAATAGTATTATAAGAATTTTCAACTTCCAAAATTTTTTTTCTAGTATTCTACGAATTTTTATTATTTGACACTCTGTCATTGTTATGAAGAAAAAAGATCTCATTTTTTATGACATACTTGCGATCGCTAGAACAAATTTTTCTTAGCAAAATCTTGCTTTATGAATCTAAACCTTACTACTTAAGTGATAATGAACAAATTATGTAAATTTTCGAACAAAATTCGCTTTTTAGCAAAGCAAATATATTAATTCTTATGTTTCTCTCATAATTTGAAATTATAAGTCCAGGTTTCCTCACGATGTTTACCTTCACCGTATGTCAGTGGTGTCTAAATAATCATAGAAAGTACATATAACTTGGCAAAATTCACGTTGGTACTTGCCAGGTTTCGAACCCACACCCTCATGCATGAGAAGCGATATTCAGTAAAAAGTTTATGTTACATTATTGATATAATATTATTCTTTTTCCTAATTGTGTTTACACAGTCAGTCTACACAAGTTTTTATTCTAACTCTCCCATAACGGGCCTGCTGGAAGAGATTGCAGAAGAAATAAGGTGTACCTAATTTTTGTATTATTTTTCTTGTCCAACTTACTGTGTACATTGAATATTAAATTAATTAATTAATACTCGTCTGCCAACCTCTAAGGATTAAAAGGCGCGGTGTTACATATGTATAATATTAGAAAAGCTTATTAAAACTTGCCTTAGGCATAATACCGCAATTTTAAACAGACAGCAGTGTTTAAAGCGATAGTTCGACTCAAATAAAGTATAATTTGTAGCCTATAATAACGCTCAGAAAAGCTATCAGTGAAAGAATTTCGGCAATCCGACCAGCGGTTCCAAAGATTACCCCCTACATACAAACTTACTAATTTTATTTCTTTATAGTATTAGTACTTGCCAGGTTTCGAACCCTAATGCCTGAAGCCTTCACCTCTGGGCCACCTAAAGTCAGTTCTATGAGGAACAGTTAAAAAGAGTTAGGTATATCAGAGAGCCTCTGTCTATTATGCAGTTCTTCCGTCGGGTTTACTACACCCACAGAAAGAGGTGCTGTTAAAATCAAACTTCGTCTCTATACATATAAGTCATAGTCGATCCGTCACTATTCAATAAATAATAAACAGCTTTACGACTTTAATATTTATTTTAAGTTAATGTCTTAGTTATAAAGTAAGTTATATGTAAAACCAAAGATATGAAATAATACATTTATGAAATCTAATTTTGTTTTATTTCTCGTCAGGACTCCCAATTCTTTTCCCTTTCTTCCAAAAACCTTTTGTAACATCTGTGGTGTTCGGGGTGTCCATGGGCGATTCTGATTGCTTACCATCAGGTGAATCAAGCACAGCGCTGTGTTTGGCCGTAGGAGTGAGGTTACCGGAGGCCCAATCCTTCCCCTCCCCCAATCCCTCCTCAATCCTAGAGTCTCCAAATCTGTTATCCCTAAAAGGTCGGCAACGCACTCGTAACACCTCCGTTGCGGGTGTCCATCATGGGCGGCGCTGATTGCTTACCATAAGGTAATCCGTCTGCTCGTTTGCCGAACTATTACATAAAAAAAAAGACTAAAAGAACTTCTTTATAATATGTATAAGTGTAGATAAAGGTAAATATCGTTCCATCTCTTTAGCGACGACCCTAGCTAAAGGACTGGACAACATTATTAATATACATTAAAGAACGACCATAAACCTAGATCACGCGCGATTCATTTTTTGACCAGACCTATCAAATGAGAGAGCTATTCTCTGCTTGAAGCACACGGTCAACTATTATTTGGATCGCGGACCAGTTTACGCGTGCTTTTGAGATTTATGCAATGCTTTTTGATCTAGTTTATTATGAGGTCCTGCGGGAAAACTTCGTCAACAACATGCCCCTACAGAGCTTACTCGTGTAGCCATTAGCAGCGCGACAGTCGCCGAGTCGCGTGTCGCGGAATGCTACTCATGAATATGGGCCTCTAGCATGGCTTGAAACTAGTCGAGTATCTCGTCAAATTATTACGTGAGTAAGCCGAATGTCTCACGCAAATTTAAGAAAAATTTGCCCCTACAGAACTTGTGGAGATATTCGAATTCTGGTATGGCAGTCAATAAACCTTTCAATAGTGGTAATTCGAGACACTATAGTATGACAATGGGTGCGCGAACACGTTCACACTACCAACCTTACATCTCTCCACTACCAAAGGATGACAGGCAGGAAATGCTTCTACCATTAAGTTCTCCGATATGCAATAATATATGTCCAGATCGGGTCCACTTAAACTGGTGTGGTTCTTTCCTCAAAAGACCAATACAGAATGAACTTGCACGGTTCTCTCACATTATGTTATTTTTACATTGTCTGGACTTGAAAAGAGATGGATCTCTGAGTTTGTTTCGGCATTTCTTCTCAGAGTAGTCAGATAGGAAATGTCGGCTTCATCTAGTTTTTTTACATCTAAATTGACGTGTAAAAGTGCCGTTTTGTGGCATATTTGTAAAATAAATTAATTGTTTCATACCTATATAAAGAATAAATAAATAAAAGTTTTGCCTATGACATTGTGCTGCTGGTGCTGCTGAGTCCATTAATTGGGGCTCTTCGCCACCTATAAAAAGTGTGAGCGGTGTGTGTCATGGCCTCAGTGTAAGTACCTATGATGTGGCAAAGAAAGAGTGGATGTTTTCCGAACCCAGTATAGTAGTGAAAATTGGACATGTTTATTTCCAAATAGCCAGAAAGAGAAAAGGGAGAAAGGAAATAGGTAACAAAAAATCGAAGTTAAATTAATACCGTCTTTATTTTATTCATCATAATAATTTATATATTCATATATAGAATACATTGTCCACGAATTGAGCAGGTGCGTCAATATCATGTACCTATTTAATAGACTTACCATAGCATCCATTGCCTCGCTCAATTCAAAGCGCGTGAGTGAGGTATCCTCCTCCTCAGACCCAGCCGCCGCAGTAGGCGACACTCCGTCCGTCGGGGATCGAGATAAGTACGATCCTCGGCCACCTAGAGCGCGGGTCTGCGGACCGCGAGTAAGGGTAGGTCGCCGCCCGACCAGAACCA